GAACCTTGCTCCGGATTGATGTCAGAGGCCACCAACTCAACCGTAAAAGGATATTTGGCATACAGGCTGGGTGGTCAAAGACCGGCGTGGTGCTAGACCTGTCTCTCCCTTGGTGCTGGTGGCTACAGAAACTGGATTGCCATAACCTAACCACCAGTGGATATTTGATTATGATGCCAGCTCTCCTGCCTGGGTCCAGAACCCCCCAATTTCCAAGTGTTTGTCTAAATTCGTACTAAGGAAGAGGGAAGAGGATGCCTGTGGCCAAAGCCTTTGGAAGCTCTCCAGCCACCTGCTGTAACAGGCTGGTCGTTTTACCACAAGCCTGGCCCCATATTTCACACTTGCTAATTTGCAAATTCAGACACTTTATTCTTCTGTTATCTTTGTGCAAAAAAGTGGCAAATTTATGTTGCAAAAATACTGCAAGAACATAAAGATTCACATGCAATTAGATTTTATTAGCCTTGTTTATGCTCCCAAAGAATCGTTCATTTTAAAACTTTATAGTCAATATGTAGAAAGATAAAACTCTGGGCTGGCTCATTCTGGTGACAGAAGTCAAGGGGTCCAATGTATGGGAGGATTCATTAAAAAGGGGACCAGGATTTGGGGCGTTTAAGGCTATAGATCAGATTCCTGACGGATGAAAATTGACTTCAACGGAGTTGTGCCGGCTTTACACCAACAGACCGTTTGGCCTGATATTAATATTATTCTGGCATCCATCACACTGGCACCCCACTTGGTCTAACTGCATTTCAGTTAATGTAGGGAGAGAAATTCAAACCCAATACAAGTGTGAATAGCGTCAGGCCCGTTAGGATGTCAGTTTTTCTTTTATCAGTGCAGATTTGGGGCCCAATCCTGGAGCCCTATGCATGCTCAGCTGCCACTAAGCAGCAGTGCAAAACCAAGAAAGGCTTCCTCGAAGTAACCTTCATCACAGCTCACTCTGGGTCATCCTAAATGATTACGGGTTTAAAAGCCCCAAGTCAGCCATTGGACAAACCGAGACGTGGCGTTGCCTGCAAGTCCCTCTGAAGACGATCAGTGTTGTGTACAATGCAGTGCTCTGCCATCTGAATCACCCCCAAGAAAGCCTGAGCTTGGTTCAACAACCATGAGGTCTGAAAAAGGACCATCCGTTACTGTTGGTGTCCGAGCCATGCAGGGACACCAGTCCTATTTGTCTGCTGCTTTCTGCAGGAGTGAGCACTACAATACTTCTTGAATGAAAGCAAAGACCCTCCCGCAAGCCCGTGTGCCTGAGAATGGAGGCTTTCAGAAAAATACCTAATTCTTGCAAGATAAAGAAAAATATCATTATGGGGAGGGACCCCAAGTACTAGAGCCGTGGGACACCAGCAGTTAAAGGGGCAACACGCACGCAGCCTGAACTCTCTCCTTTTTGGCATCCCAGCATCGCACTTTTGTGGAGTAGGGGCTATTAGCATGAACAAAAGTTGGGTCATTAGTTGCAGCCTTTCTAAATCGTTTGCTGCCCCTGATGCATTTGTGACTCTACAGGTGAAAATATTGATATTTCACTGAGTCCAGAGACAACAGCTCCCCATCACGCTGCAGAGGCAGAGGAAAACCCTCGTGCGACTGATGAACAAGAGATCTGACTGGGAGCAGCGGAGGGCACAGGCATGCGGAAAGGACTCTTCACAGCTTGGCTTAGGCCTTAACTGCACTAATTGGTTTTCCCAAGGTCTGGATTTGGCCCTGCATCCTAGAAGGATACAATGGCTGCTGGGCACCACTTCTTCCCTGCTTGCCATGGGGGTCATTTGTGGGCGCCCCGTTGCTAAAGGAGGGTGCGATGTATCTAAAGCATGCATCCATGCATGTGAAAACTCAGCCCTGCACCACGGATGCTGCAATCTCCCAGGAGAGAGAGGAGATACAGCTACATGCTGCCACCTTCTCCTGAGCCAGGGAAGACGGGCTTAGAGTGCCTTGCAAGGGTGCACTTGTGTGCCTGCTGTCCGTGCAGCTCAGTCTCCAAGCATGGTGTTGGTATAAGCCGCATCAAAGGGTTTATGTGGATGGAGGTGAAAATGCTGGTGGAAGATCATCCCCTGGAAGGGGCAGCATGGAAAAGGGACTGTCCCAAGTGTGGATTAACACTGACACCTGCTGGAGGCTTGCATCTTGCAAGCGTCTCCCCTCCATGCTCGGGGAATTATAGCCAGGGCTTTCTCCTGTTTCTCTACTTGGAGGAGGGAGGTGTCAATATATTCCTCACCTGCCGCTGTTCCCTGTGGCTGGGGCACCCCCACCCTCTTCCTTGAGGTCAGGTCAGCACATTTTGCAGCAGCAAGAGCAGAGCCTGGCACCCACTGGCGTTTTGCACCTTTGGGCTGGTGTAAAGCAACAATGCCACAACCCAGCATAGTGCAAGGTGGTGGAGGAAAGGGCAGGGCTGCTTGTGACCACGTCTCGATGGTAACGGCGACTGCCTCAGGCCCTCAGTGTGCCCCCGGATTTGGGTTTTTTCACCGACACTTATCTCTGCTAGCGAAGTCACAGGGCTCCCAGTACCCCTCCTTGCCCCCAGCTGTGATGGGCCCTGAGAAGCCGGTCGCCTTGGCAGTGTCCTTCTTCCAGCCCATTTCCCTTCTCTCCCTTCACATCTACAGGAAGAAGCAGGTCAAAATGTGGAGGTTGGGGGTTCCCCATCTGTCTTATGGATGCACCCAAAAGTTGGATGCTACAGAGTAACTACCCCCACATGCCACCCCAGTCCCCAGCTACCATCTCCTGAGCTAATGCATGGTTAAAGGCTCTGGGGGCACTGGAAATCCCTGGTAGCTTTCCAGCCTGGCTGAGCGATTCCTAGCATATCCCATTGCTGAACTGGACTCCAGAACCTATTTGAGGTGAGCCATTGCTAGAGATCACACCTGCAACCAGGGACCGCGGGCTGGATCCAGGCCCAAACTTCCCCAACGTTCAGGGCCATTGCAATCCAAGGCTTTGGTCCGGGTTCATCTCTTTCTGCTGAGCTCTGTCTCTGTGCTGCCGAGCTGGGGATGTAGCCATGCAATAAGCACAGCCCACACTCCAGACTGTGAAGTTCATTATTCTGTGTCTCAGGGCTGGGTCTGACTAGATTTTCTAAGCAGGTATTGCATGGTCCTGCAGCTGTTAGGTTCATTATTCTATCCCCAGGCCACCGCGCTGGCTGGCTCAGAGTCCGTCCTGTAAGCAGGACCTGACTTCCCAGGCGATGAGGTTCATTATTTTCTCGTGGTGTCACAGAGACAGGAGCACAGACTGAGACTGCAACTTCCTCCCCTCACGTTTAGGAGCTGGAACCGAGTCATTTTCAGCAATTTCAGGACCGGAAGAAGATTCCTGTGATTGCTTTTTAATCACAGTAATAACAGTAATGGATGCAGTGAGTGGAATTGATGGGGAAGAGCTGAGATGTGCACTGAGATAAGCTCACACGTGGGAATTATTGGCTTCTTAAGTGCTGCTACCCTTGCTTTTCCTGCGAGCTAGAGTGACCCTCAGTGAGGTGTGCGTAAAAACAGCCAGCAGGCATCCACTGCCTTTGGGATGAAGTGAACCAGGCGTCTTCTGAGAGTTTCTACAGGACATCATTATCATGGGATTGGAAATTGTCCTCATAGGAGAAGTCCATCATCCTCAGCAAGGAACTGAAGCCCAGACCCACCAAGGTCTTTAGGTGAAGTCAGTGAGGCTTAGGCGCCTAAATACCACTCCAGTGGGAGCGGGTTTCCCCAGGAGCCCCCTACGTCCTGCCCCAGTTCCCATGCTGGTGCTAGTGCTGCTATCTGGGTCTTTAGCTGCACAGGCAGGCTTTCCCAGTGATGGGCAATGCTTTGCAGAAAAACTCTGCCAGGGAACCAGGGTTATGAAAGATGAGCTACTGTGGGAGACCCGCCGTTAGGTAGCACCATGCTGAATGCATCGGCCTTCTGCCTCTGAGCATGACAGACATGGACACGGGCTGTGAGCAGCAAAGTGTCCGCAACTTAGCTCCCATGCATCCCTTACAATCCAGTCTAGTTTTCCTGGAAGGCCACATTCTCTGTTCAGCGGTACTACCCACTCGGTGTGGCTGGGATGCAGTCCTGGAGTAGGAGAGACACGTTGTGGATGCCACTGCAGGGTCCTAGAAACGGGTCTTGGAGGAAAGATGGGATGGGCCCGGGGTAGGAGAGGGCCTAGACCAGCACAGAGTGCTGTAGGGCAGGATTCGATGTGGTGGTGGCTTGGGAAATGGGGGCAGGCAGTGAGCAGGCAGCAGGTGTGACCACTCTGCTGTCTACCAAGCTCAAGCATCCCCAGTCTGCTTCTCTGACTTTCCTGAACGGTCTCTGTTCCTCCCGAACAACTTACACACACATGCCGAAGCAGGAGGAATCCCATCCCCAGCCCTCGGGCAGACAGGGGGCTTTTGCCTTTATTTCTGCAGCACAAGTGGCACCCTGAAAGGACCTTGTTTCCATGGGCCCGGCCTGACAGAACGCGTAGCGGAGGATCTGCTTGCTATGCTGATCGAGGCAGGCAAAATAATACAACGGCTCATGCAATAGTCACCTCAAAGCCCCCGTGCAAATCTCCCCAAGCCCACAAGGGTCAGTCTGACCGAGAGCCCGACCCGACCCATGTTGGGCCCCAGGCAAACGAGGGCTGCTGGCTGAAATGTGGGGGTAAATCAGGAGGAGCTTCCCTGCAGCCAAGGGCCCTACAGAATCAGGCCCCTGGAGGACAGCGGCACGGCGGGTTGTCAGTGGGCGGGAATGGGGCATGTATAGGCTGGGGGAGCTCGGGGAGGGGGCAGGTGAGGTCCAGTCTTCCAGTGCAATTCAGATCTGAGCTGCCCCCCCGCCAGTATTTGTGTGTTTTTTTAATCTGGGCTTGGGGGATGGATCCCATCCATTTCTTAAAACAAATCCCTGGGAGGACATGGAAGCCTAACTTGAAGCTAAAATAGTCTAAGTGACTTTCAGCTCAGCAAAAATAGCATGAACATCCCTACGACCTGCCGGTGAGGCAGCTGAGGAAATCCTCTTCTCGCGTACCCTGTCCTGGCACCCCAGCCAGTGCACCACGGCCCCTTCCCTGTACAAATGCCGTTATCGTGTGCTGTTTGCCTGGGCGCGTGGCTTGAGCACCTGTGTGTTTCCCACCCCCACGGCCCCTGGATGGAGGAGCTACGAATCAGCCTTTTGTCAGCATCGCTCTCACGTGCACGCACATGCCTACCTAGGATCGTTTTCCTCCAAACAGCCACATCCCCAATCCCAGCGCCTTCCAAGCCACACACCCGCCTGGGCCTCTTTATTTAAAACACGCCTAGAAAAGGAGTGGCATATCACCTATTCAGGAGCTGGCATCTTTCAGCCTCCAAAGTTTTGTTGGAGGTGTCAGATTAAAAAGCAGAGGGTTAGCTCCAAAATCATTTTCAGCATACGGGAGGTGCGACCTTTCCCAGCCAGGCGTGGGGGTACAGCCGTGGGTTGGGGGGAGGCGATTCCAAGAGAGACCCAAGCTGAACAAAGCATGAAGAGGAGTCTGCGAGCCCTCGCTTCCTTGCTCAGCAGCTGCTTTTTGTAGTCAGAGAGCCAGGCACCATGCCGCTAGTCCCCACTGCTAGACATTGAAGCTAGTGAGAGCTGAGATCGCTTGGCCCCTCGCAGGCGGCGATGCTCTATGTTTGGCTACATGGGGCCCTGATGGTCACAGAGCAGCACCGGTCCCATCCCACCGTCTGGAGGGGGAATACTCAGATCATCGGCGCGTTAGCCCCGGTTCCTGGCTGGCAGCGCCCATGTGATCATGATCCAGAGGACGGATAAAGTCCTGAAATAATTACCCTAAAAGCAACCAAGTGGTATGAATTCCTGTCCCAGAGAAAAAAGAACTGACCTCAGATACACAGACCAATTTCATGTACGGGGAATAAAAAAAGAAAATAAAAAAGTCACCTGCGACATCTAATCAATCTTCCATTAGCAGCATGGATTTTCCTTGTGTTTTTTTTAATTTGAAAAGGTGGCTGGAGTGGCTTGAATTTGAAAAGGTGGCAATTCATGGGATACAGAGCCTCTCCGCTATCAACTGCCAGCCGGCTCTGAGCCACGGGAACTGCAAGCAGCTCCCGAGTGACAGCTCGTCGGTCAGCAGCCGGCAGGAGATGAGTTGCCAGGACTCACCCCAGAAAACTGGCAAGGAGGCTGAAAGGGTGCCAAGGATGGAGCTGGTCCCCTCCACCCCCCAGAGATAGAAACACAGGTCAGGGGGAAATATCTGTGTAGAGGGACCTGAAGGGAGCTTGCTTTTCCCTGTGCTATTGACTTCAGGCTGCAGGGCTCTCAACTTCACCTCCTACGCTAGCACTGAAAACTCACTCAGCATGGTTTATGTTCATGCAAAGGCACTCGGGATAGCAGGAAGCAATGGGCCATGCTAGCATGCAAGGGAACGGGCTCCATGTGCACGCCACCCAAGATCCCTGGCTCCCCAAGAGAAGCAGAGCGGGGAGGGTGGTGGTGCATGGCAGGCAGTGCAGAGGCTAGAGCAGAGGAGGGTTTGCCTGGTTATGGGTCTCTGGGGCGGCAGAGCTTTCAAGGGAAACAGGAAATGGCCCCGTGGCAACTAGGAATTGGGGACAGTCCTCGTTTCCCCTCGCGCAGACCGCCCCCCGCCCCCCAGAGATTACAGCAGCAAGGTTAATACAGTAGCAGGTACATCCATGAATATCCTCTGTTGATGCGTGGCTCCAGGTGCTTCCAGCTGTTCCCGTGGGTCCCAGGAATCAAGGCGCCTCATTGGAGGTGACTCCGTTGCCTTTGTTGACGTAAAAGGGGCGGTACTGGGACTGCAAGGGAGGATTTGGGGCATGTGAGTAAAGGCAAGGCCAAGTGTGTGGCCAGTTCTTGACCTACCTTCATTTCCCATGACCACAGGCATCCAATTCACCCTTCTACATACCCCAGGTTAATGCCTACTGCCATCCGCTCACGGAGCAACGCCCCATGTTCAATCCCTCCAGACATGACTGCAGCAGTATCTCCACTTGGTGCCAGGCTCTGATCAGGGCTGAATGTCACCCTCTGGATTTCACGGATCCCTTCATTGTCCCTAGCTACCCAGAGAGCCAAAACTCGGCCTCCGGGGTGTTCAGAGTCCTTGAGCTATTTGCAGTGTGTGGCTGCTTGCTGGGTGGATGACCCAACTCTTATGTACAAGTATGAGACAACACTGACAGATAATCAGTGTGGTTGTTTGCAGTTTTTCTCCAGCTCCACGAACCAGTATTTCCAGTTGCACCACTTCCCACCAGCCCAGCTCCTAGTCATCCCACCGTTAGCTCCATGAGCATCTCCCCTCTATCTACATCTGGCTAAGGTGTATTGGAAAAAACACTGGCTTGAATGACCTGAGGTTGCAACACTTGTAAAACACAACAGCCCGTGAGTTGGTTGTCACACCACATCAGACCCACCTATAATCATGCAATCAACCAGTTCATCCAGTCCTCTTAACTGCAACCCACAAGGCAGCGCATTACACCTGGAAGTCAACCAAATGGCTCCCTCCTAGTTATGTAGCTGTGTCTTGTGAGATGTACTCTAAAACATGCTGACCCAGCCCGTTCAAAAACATACCACTGTGCCACAAACCACAAAGTCTGTGCAAACTGCTGCCTCCGTGAGAACGCGCTAAGCAGTGAGACACCAGGCATCTCACAAAGTTGGGGTAGGGAGAGGAATAATACCAGCCATGGCTTTGCAACCCTGTGTCAATCCTGGTTTAGATCCATCATGGTAGGGGATCTGGCTCCAGCCCCACCGCGGGCAGGGTTTGGTAGAAACAGAATAGGAACATTTTGGTCCATCTTTGTGCTTCACATCAATGAACATCACGCTCTGCTCGTACTCCTGATACCCACTGTTCAGTGCTGCCTTGCATTTGCACTCCTATTACTTTACAGCTCCAATTTCCAGCATAATTCAAAACAGGGGGAGGGGAAAAAGTTTCTCTCTAAAGAAGTCTATGGGCCGACAGGACAGGCACTCCTTAAGCAATGCAGTCTGTTGTGAGCGTTCATATTTACAGGCCTTTTAGAAGGTAGATTACTTAAATACATATTTAAGGTTGTTTTAAAAGCCAAATTATTGGCCCAGTAGACCATAAAAGCTCCTGCAGGCCAGAGTATGTATATCTATTTGGGGACTGTTTAATGCTCATATTTATCAGCTGAATCAGTAGGTTCAGGGCTATCTGGTGAATATTAGCCGTAAAAAGAAAACAGCCCCAACTACTATATGCATGAGAGGGAGAGAGATCGGGGACTGTACGAGGGAAACTTCCCAGCCTCATAGAGATAAATAAAGGTGCAAGCTGTGATAATGAAATAAGCCCAGTTTCTTGTCAACCAAAAAGTCACCCTTGCTCTCAGCACAGCTCATGACAAGACCCCCATCCCACCGTGTTGCAGCAATCATTACCAGGTGCCTCTTATCTCACCCTACTGCAGGTGTGTCTCTTGGGGCTGTTTCTCCCAACAAGCCTTTCTGAAGCCAAACCTTTAAATTGGGCAGAGTCAGGGCCAGCCATTTTGTAATGGTAGCAGCTTGGTGCTCTCCTGTCTTCCAGCTGGTAAGTGCTCTTGGCTTGCTGTTTTCCTAAGAAGAGGGCTAGGTTTTGCAAATGCATGATCATTCCCAAGGCAATCCCCTTTAGGGAGACTGAAAATAAAAAACTCCTTTTGAGATCCTTATTCAGGCCTTGCAAGATGTTAAAGATGCTGTGTAGGTAAGGGAGGCTGAGGAGCCAGGATGGAGTGGTGCTGCTTCATTTTCAAGTGAAGGGTTTGTTAATCCTGCAGGGTCAGAGGTGGGCATTCAGGGCTTGCTTTGCATCTCGCTTAGTCCAGCCTGGCTAGCTCTTGTGATAGGTGTTTTATTTGTGTTGGTGGTTGTTATAAAGCATCAGATCCCAGCTGTGAATCTGGGACTCAGCCTTGAGGACTCAACGCTCAGCAAGCCATTAAAGAGAATCCTGCTTTCAAAACCTCTCGTGGCGGGGGAGTGTGCCTGTGTCTTTTTGATGGGGCACAGCTGCTGGTTTGTGCTCATGGTGAGCAGCGGTGGGCATTTACAATACCGGTATTGTCTTGTGGCAAAATATCTGCACATATACGTGCAGCCCAGGAAGCCATGCATTGATCTGTGCTGCTCCATCAGCCTACACAAGGGTGCGAGCAGGAAGGGAGATCTTTTCATGCTTGGATTATATGGTGCAGAGGCCCAGCCATATGTTTTCTGGATCCTGCAGATGACTTATCTGTGACACTCATACAGGGAACTGTAATATTGCAGAGGACCAGGTGATGGCTGTATTATTAGTTGAGAGCTATTGGACCAAGCTCTTGAGTGAAGTTTCCATGCAACTGGGTTTTGAAATGGTATTAAACTGAAACCTAGGTTCTTGTTGTTCTGATTTCCAGCAACATGTGAAGCCAGATCTAGATCTTTCAGTCTGTATGACATGGCTGCCCATAAATACAACAAACACCTTCATTGAGAAAGTGTAACCTTTCTCCTTTCCCCAAATCCAAAAGCCCCTGGCCACAGCCAGCAAAGGTCTGTGTGTTCCCACAGGTGGTACTTCTGCTGAAGCCCCAGGAATTGGTAAATCTAGGTTTTATTTCTTACCAGCACAGACTGCTTGGAGGATTTCCATGTCTGGGGTGTCACCTTGGCAGACTGGTGCCTCACTATTGAAGGGTAAACTGCTGCAATACAAAATAGCCAATTAAGAGTGATGCCGTTACAGGTTGATCTGTCTTTTGCAAGCAGGGAGTGGAAGCTGCGCTCATTTAACTCCCACACTGCCTTATGCCAAAATGCAGCCAGTTTTTGGGGTGGGATGCACTGGAACGGTACCAACCCCACTACTCATAATTAGGCTTGCAGTGGGCTCTGTACTCATTGCAGAGTCCCACCTTTAGTTTGAAGTCTTGGAGATGGAGAGGGCTCCCTGCAACCCTGCAGGCACTAACGGCACTGGAGCGTCAGTCCAGGTCCGACTCGGAGCCAACAGCAGCCCCGCTGAACCGGCTCCAGCTCCAGTACCACCATGTGATGGGCTGTCCCTGAACTCTTTCATCCATGAATCAACCAGACCTGCTTCTGCTTGGCATGCACTGAGGCCATCACAATGCCCTCTTCCTACTTGATGTGTCCTTGAACCAACAGTAGGCAGTGAAAGGATGGTGAGGAGTGAACTGTTCCTCCAGCAGTGTCTGGGAGCACTGGGATTTTGCCCTGAAAGTGCAGGGGTTATAAGCGGCGCTTGCCAGAATCCTTCCTTCCCAACTGCCTGAACACTTAGATGCTTCCTTCCTACTGAGAAACCCAGAAAGGGACTGGTGGAGCTGTCTCAGCTCATTGGACTAGGTCCTTGCCATGGCCTGCCTGAGTGCACTTCCCTTCCCAAAGGGTGAACAGCACAGCAGGGAAGCAGAGCCATGTGGGTTTGCAGCACAGAGCAGTAGCACTTGGGCAGCAATGGAGAGCCCTCCCCAGGGTCCGGCACTGCAACCTCTTCCCATAAGAAAGGGGTGGGAGAAGAAGCAGGTGGTGGGAAGGGGAACATGGCTCCAGACCCAGAAACCCAGTACCATTCTTGGTGTAGAGGCTCCCATCAGACTGCTTGCTGAAGTCCCCAGGTGAGCTCTGTCCCATCGAGGAGAACTGAAATGGCAGCTTGGTGCCATTGCCTACTAGAAGAGAAAAGAGTCTGAGTTACTTCAGGGCCTCACACAGCGGGGGGGGAGAGAGAGACTTCAAGTGGGCATTGCAGAGGCAGAACTAATGCGTCAACAGCATTTTATCTCATTGTGTCATATCCCTGTAGTCAGAAGCAAGAGCGGGGCAGCAGCTGGGGTCTGCAGAGCTGCCAAGGGGGTCTGAAATCCAGTCTTGCTTGGATGGGGTGGGGGGAAGCTGTGGAAACCTTTGCAGAACTCCCCGTGTATAAGAACGGGCAGGTTTGCTGGTGGTGGGATGAGGACACCTCATGCCAGGTGCTAGTGGGAGACATTAAGTGTTGGAGTAAGCATCAGACTTCAGTCTTGGAGTCTTTGGATGGAGACAGGCCTCAGCACTCTGGCTGGGGAAGGCATTGGGGTGCATATGTGTTGGGTTGGGGATGGATTTGGGGCATCACAAACTAGACTGACTAGGCAAACCAAAGGTCTTCTGCCTTTGAGACCTTATCTGAGGCTTAGTGACCTTCTTGGTGGGCCCTGGAGCAGGCAGACCCTTGCTGCTGAAGCAAATCCAGTGGCTGGACTTGACACAGAAGGTGAACAGGGATGGCTTTGATGCATGACCTGGATTGAGCATCCCCATGGGCTGACCTGGCCCTGCCGCCCACAGGTGCTGCTAGTCGGCTTCCTTAATAAGGAGGAAGATGGGGGTGAGGGTACCATGCCTCAGCGGGGGCTACAGCACATGATGGGCAACTGCCGTGGGGCAATAGCAGCGCAACGAAAGGCAGAGGCCTGCAAGGCAGAGCTCATTTATTATTACTCATCATCTTTCTTATCATATTTCTATTCTCAGTGGGGGCAGATGACAGAACAAGGAGCAATGCGCTCAAGTTGCAGCAAGGGAGGTTTAGGTTGGCTATTAGGGAAAACTCCCTCACTAGGAGGGTGGTGAAGCACTGGAATGGGTTAGTGGGATCTCCATCGCTGGAGGTTTTTAGGGCCTGACTTGATGAAGTCCTGGCTGGGATGATGTAGTTGGGGCTGGTCCTGCTTTGAGCAGAGGGTTGGACTAGATGTGACCTCCTGAGGTCCCTTCAACCCTCACTTTCTATGATTCTGTGTTGTCCTGGGACTGAACAGAAATCTGGCCTTGCTCTGCCAAGTGCTGCACAACCATTAGAGAGTCCTTGACCCAAGGACCTTGCAGGCTAAAAACACTATGCACATGGGAGCAGAAGGACAGCCTTGTGGGGAAAGCACCCACCTGAGCCTCAGAAATCCTGATCCTCCCCCAGGCTCTTTGCTCCACAACACAGGCCCAGAGATGGTAAGATGTTGAGGTGCTGGGTTTAATGAGTTTGATGGCTTTGATCTTCCTAAAAACCTCATCTTCAGTTTCTCTGCACCTGAATTTTCCCTCTGCGTGATGGAAAAACCGGTCCCCCATGTCCCTGTTCCTGTGTCTGGATTACAAGGGCAGCGACGCTCTGTGTGTTTGTGCAGCACCTAGCACGGGGCCCTGATCTTGATCGTAGTGGAAATGATGGTGATTTTACACCAGGGACACTCGCTTCTGACAAGCTTGCATCTCAGGGTGGAGGGGGAGAGAAGGGAGGGGAACTATGGCAAATCTATTTGATTAATTGAGACTGGGCCCATGCATTGCATTGTTTGTAACCATAGGAAAGATGCACCCCAGCCTTGCAGTGAAAGAGATGCTCAGATAATATTCTCTGCAAGGAGCTGTAGGTGCTGAGCTGAAGACCCATGGTCTGAGCTGGATGGGCAAGCTGGATAGGGTGGTTCATAGCACGGGAGAAGCACATGTCAGGTGGCAGAGCTGCATACAAGGGGAGTGGTGGGCTGGGCATGCAATGGGCTAGCTGGGAAGCCAGGGCGAAGCACGGGAGGTGCAGGTACCTTTCAAGAAGGCAGGGTTGCCAGCACCAAGAGCCTCCTCTGTAGCTTGCAGGGTGGAATACTCCCAGGATCGCGTGTTGAAATTGCCTGCAAGACGAGAGGAGCCCGTTCAGCCACCAGCCCCTGGTGATCTCCAGCTAGGCCCGTGCCTCGTGTTGCTTCACAGACTGGTTCAGAAGCAGACCCAGTCCCATATGCATTGGGATGAAGCCACCCCGAGAGCAGGGGCCAGGCAGCAGGAGGGCACTCCAGCCCTCCTTCCTCCCAGGCTGCAGGGCAGAGGGGGATGCTCTCTCCCTCGTGAGCCGCGTGAACAAAGCTCCTACTCACACTCCACTTCCCATCACCTGGAGGGAGAGGTTCAGGGGAGGTGTGAAAAAGAGGGGAACCTTCCTTGCCCCCTATAGACTTGCCCCCCTGGGGGTCACTAGGACAGGCTGCCCAGGGCAGGGCTCTGCTCCTGCACTGCTTTTCTACCAGAGGGAGAGGGAACAGTGGCTACGAAATACATTGCTGCCACCCAGTGGGCTGCTGCTTTATTTAGGAGCGTGGGCTCCTTTCTGTGGCCAGCCCCCTCCCACCCTGCTTTCTTGCAAAGCTCAGGGAGCTGGGGACAATAACCTCCCCATTGATGTTCATCTGTGAGACCAGGCTGGCCCTGCCCCTGGCTGGCTGGAGCATTGCCATGTGATGAGAGCAAACGGCTGATTTGCAAATGCATCTGACTCCATTAACCTTTGCCAGGATTACTCTGCACTAGCCAGTGCAGCACTGACCGTGTGTGCAGGGGCAGGGGGGACAAGCCGGGGATCCAGGAATTCCTCAGCCCTGCCCCAGTCTGACACTGATTTGCCAGGCATCCTTGGGTGCATCATTTTGCTTTCTGTGCCTTTGTTTCCCTGCTTGTGGCATATGGAGAATTACACCCGTCTCCTGGGGCTGGTTGTGCGGGTTCATTCGTTAGCTGCTCTAGAGCCCTGGAGGGCTGGGCTTAGCAAAGCTGTGGGGCTCTACTGATTGCCTGGTTGCAAACTGGTAAAGACTTAAGGCAAATGCAAGTCTCCAAGAGTCTTGTGTGCTCAAATGCAGGGAGCAATGGCCTGACATGGATGCGGTGGGGTGCCATGGCTGGGTTTCACAGCAAAACGTGAAGCCTCTTAATCTGCAGTGCAGCCTTGGGCTCCAGCGCCCTCGATACTCCACTAGAAGGGCGGTGACAGACTGCAAGTACAGGCAGGGCATCAAAACTGCCAGAGCCAGTTCAGCCTCCATTTGCCCCTCCTCCCACATGGATGGCCAGCATAATTAACACAGGTGTGTGCAGCCAGGGCCAGGGTTGCCCAATGCAGGGAGTAAATTCCTTGCTGCAGCTCAAGGAAGAGAGCCTCTCTGGGACCCAGCCCAACAGGCACGAGTGCATTTGAAAGAAAAAAGGGCTTGGTCCATGCAGGTGATACTACCAGTGGGGCTGGCTAGTCCCTTGTCCCCCAGAGCTGGGAGTCCACATCAGGGGTGCGGTCAGAGGCAGGGGTGCTGCTCCTCTCCTGACTCGCTGCTGCAGTGGGAGAGCTGGGTGGTCCTGGGTAGATCACTGCAGCCCTGGGACCATCCCGTTGCAGCCAGCAACGTGTAATAAGGTAGCTAAGTGTGTCTTGTCTCCCTCTAATGGCAGATCCCCAGTGGATAAGGATCTACTGCTGCTGCTAGCTCATGGAGTAGCTCCTCTCCATTAAGTAGGAAAGCTCTGTGCTGTGAAGCTAAAAGCCCAGTGTCAAGTTTGTTGCGTTTTTCACCCATTGTGTAAGGGGCTCCCAAATTTTCCATTGCCCGCTATGGTCTTTCCATTGCCGCAGCCTGGTAACTTCCTGTCGGCTTTTGCACGGTGAGGAGCGGTGGCTATGAATCCAGCCCCATCTGGGGTTAGTGAGTCCTGGACAACCCAGTCGTGATCCCTGCAATGGGTGCTAGATGGGGCTTCTCTGGGTGGACGGTTTTTTGGTCCAAGTCTTTGGCAGGACATATTCGTTCCTGGCCTAGTTGCCTTTTGATGCTCATTCTGTGAAGTAGGCGATTGGGTGCCTAAATCACACGGCCACAGGTCCCGTGCCTAATCGGGGCACTAACATAAGGACCCAAATAACATAAGTGTAGCAAATACCGAATGAGGAACTGGGCTGTGGAACGAACCCCTTGCTCCCATGTAGATATGGGAGCTGGCAGGAGGGGCAGATATTTATATATTACATAGATATCTATAGATACATATAGATATTTATATATTACTACAGATGCTTAGAAATACAAAAGCCCGTGCAAATGGCAAATGCCAAGAGGTGGGAGCTGTGCAGAGTGGACACAGCTGGTCTCAGACGTGGCTCTTCAGTGCTCAGCCGGGTCTGCGCCCTGCCCTGTGTAGGGTTGGGTACAACAGGTGTCTCCTTTGACTTCACTGGGATGGCTCTCAATAGCAAAAGCTACACCTGGGAGTGAGTGTTTGCCAGCCTGCAGCCTCTACGGCCCACGATAAATCCGCCTACCCCTGCAGGGGTTGGGTAATGCCGCGGCTTGTAGTATTCAGTTATAAGCTTCCTCTCCTCTGTGTCCTAGGAGCAGTTTCTTCTGCCCCTGCAGCAGGTCCCAAGGCCCCTTCTGGAAGCTGAGCTCTTTGTTCCCTGCCAGGAGCAATGGTAACAATACCAGGTCACTCCCCAGCTGCGGCACAGGCTTCTTTGCGCTTTGGCACGTCCACTACTGCAGACGTGATGGCAAAGCCCCACTAGTGGAGATGCAGCAGCGCGTGCCTAAGGGAGGTTTTTTCTTCAGGGACTGATGCTGTCATCCCAGCTAAGCTGGCACCAGCCCTCTTCTAGCTGCATCCTCACCAGCACAGCTGTGGGCATGGAGAGGGTTGCACTTGGACCTGATGAGACTCAAGCTTTGTTGTGCAGACTAAGGTGAAAAGGCTGAGATTGCCTTTGCCGTTGCCAGGGCTGTGGCCACAGGGGAGGACGGGGATGGTGATCGTGGAGGATCACTGGATTCCACGACCATGAGCCAACAGCTCAGCAGCCCTGGGAGGAGTGCAGGGCTTTTGCCTCACTTGCCCCCGTACGACACACTTGGGTCTCATGCTTCAGTGCCAGTGGCCAGGAAGGACCCGTCCTTGCTCTTCTCCGGGTGCTGCCTGGAACAGGTATTCAGGTACCCGGTGGGGAATTTCCAGCTCCCACTAAAGCATCATTTATTGGGTAGAGGTGGGCTCAGGCTGCACAACTCGGATGGAGTTTTAAAAGCTGAGAAGGGCTTGGTCCCCGGCCTGTCTCCTGTCCTAGTCACCGTGCTCACCAGAGTGCGTCTGCACAGCCAAACAGGTCTGGGTAATGATGCCAGTGAAGACAGTGGTGCATGCTTTATCTCGGCATATGCCAGCAACCACAGTACAAGATCCCCAGTGGCCCCATGTGCCCATGCTGGTGGCTGGCCTGGATTGTCCCAGGTGCCAGCTGCAGCTTGATGCCAGGCATTGAGCTCTACGACACCCTCATCTTGCTGCGTTCGCTTCCCAAGGGGTGGATGCAGGGCAGCAGGCTAGAAAGAATATGGCTGATTTGCAGGCTGCTCTGGGAGAGGGAGTTAGTTTCTTCCTACGAGCCCTGTCCTCTCGGCAATACAGTCCAGCCACGTGCTTCCCTTCTACCTACACTGAGATCAGCTGGTGCATCCCTGGGTGGAGCCCGGGGTTGGAACGGAGAAGAGAGAAGGGGAATGGGCTTTAAAGGAATAGCGGGAATTGAGACAAATTTGGGAATCCAGCTCATCTTCCACCCTTGCATCAAGCCCCATGTGCATGCAGGCAGTCTTAAACGCTGGGCCTGGCCACTTGTGTTGGCCATCAGGGAAGTGCCATTGCTCATTGCAGGTGCCTGTCCTCTGCCTGCTTTTGCCCAGCAGCAGCTGTAAACGTCTGGCAAACCCAGGGGTAGCTCTGCAGGCTCCAGAGCAGAGCCCGATAGGCAGCTGTGCCAACCGGGTCAGCTCCATGGGGACATCTCAGTGATGGGCTACCCTTGTCACGCAGCTCCTAGAACTGCCCCAACCCTCCCAGCTGTCACCATCTTGATGAACAGTGAAATACAGAGGCCCAGTCTCACCCCCTTTCCTACCTCAAGGAGTTCAATATTCAATCTGCGAAGGCCCTTTGACCCGTATGGGTCCACTGGAGGCCCCACCATCAGTGGCAGACCTGAGCAAAGACCCCAGGCATGCTAATCTCCCAGTCCCACATGTTCTGCACTGCTCCCCTTTGTCTCAAGACAAGGCTGTTTGTAGCTTCAACACAGGTTAGCAGGTGGAGGCGTATCGTTGCTCCACAGTCGATTTAACCCTGACTTCCTGTGCAAGTGCAGAAGCTACAAGTGCCTTGGTTCAGTACAGCTTTCCTTCTTGCTGGTCGCCAGCCACGATCTCACACCAGGTAAGAACCCACCTTTTCCTGTTAATGAACGTGATGCCCCCCAGACCCTTGTGTTCACCTCCTTGCAACATCAATGAGGCTTGTGAGCAGTGGCATCTGGCAGCCCTGATGCATGGCCTGAGTGCTCTCCTGGGACAGGAGTGTCACGGAAAATGTGCGAGTGAAAGCAAATCCCCAGCAATGGCACTGTTTAGAGGACAGACAGACAGCGTAAGGGAGTCGCAATACCTTTAGGAGACAGGTACATGGAGAATCTCTTCAGGCTGTCAGGCTGGTTCCAGTCGTAGTTGTTAAACATGTAGCGGTGATCACCTGGAGAGGCAGAGCAAAGCCTGGTGAGCAGGGGGTCAGAGTAGTGGGGAGAGGGGGACAGCACTGCCCGGGATGCTTCCCCGTACCTGGAGGGAGAGGCGATTCCCCCAGGAGAGATGCCCTTTGAGCATGGAAATTGCAAAAGTAAAGGGCCCTTTGGAATTGGGGTTCCTCATCAAGAAGAGCAATGCACTTGCTTGTGGTCTCCGAGCCCCTGACTGCACAGCAGCCTCCCTCTTCATCTGCCCTGCTGCATCGCTCCCAGTCCAGCTGTGCTCGCTGCACAGCTGCAAAATGCAGCTTGCGGGAGGATAAGAGAACCAGTGATGAGGCAGCAGCAGGTCCTCGGGGAAGAGGTACAGGGAGGAAAGGCAGTGACTTGGCCCCTTGCAGGCAACACCAGAGAGATCAAGGGTGTGAGACAAGGCCCTGGAGAACCAGCCTGGCACCATGATACCGGCCTGATGTTGGAAGGAGGCATAGCAAATGACTCCTTACAAATTGGCACCATTGCGTATGCCTCCGCCTCTGCCCCTACCACACCTCCGCGGGGGTTGCATGCATTGGGCTGACCTCCTAACTGTGATTATCGTGGTGGTGCCTAGGGACAAAACAAGACCTGTGGCACTGTTGTGAAATGTGGGTGGTGGGAGACTGTGCCTGCCCCAAAGAACTTGCCATCTGCATAGTCCCAGGGTGGGGAAGGAGGGTACAACCCAAAGGCAGGTGATGAACAGGGTGGCAGCAAATGGCATGCTGGTTCCTGGTCTGTTTTCCAGGGGAGGGAGAGTTTGGGAGATGAGGATCCATGGGAGGAGAAGGGAAGATGTGTGAGGGAAGACGGGACAAGGGAGGTTGGGGCTGGGTTTGCGGATGAAGCTGAGCACAAGGAGAGGGTGAGAACCATAGGGAATGGATATGGGCTCAAACCCTTTCATTACTGGACTGGTTTCTCAAACTGAGCCTATGCTGGTGGCAGGGATCAACGAAGAAGGTGGAGATGAAGGAGCTGCATAGTTTACACCAAGGACATGGTGCAGAGGGCACTGGGAGGATGCTCCCACAGAGTCCTACAGGCCTGGACCCAAGGTTCAAAATCTCCAAAAGCCAATTCCTCTGTGATCGCCTTGTCTTACTGGGCTCAGTAGAGGAGTAACAGGGTAGGGATCTATTGACCTGTGACCTACTGATGTTCAGATTAGATGCGATAATATGGTCACTTCTGGACTTAAACTCCATGCAACTCTCTGAACCTAGTCATGACCTGTGCATCTTTTAGGGTAAAAAGCTGCCTAAAAGAGGTCCCCATAAAAGGGCAAAGCTCCTTGTACCACTGGGGCTCTTGGGAAAGACATGCCAAGAGCAGCAGCAGCTGAAGTCAACCCTGGTTTCCAAAGGCAGAAAGCCTGGGATCGTACAGGATGGGTGAGAAGATGCTGGAGGCATGGGGTGAGGTGCTGACTGACTGCTCAGCCTGCGGCAATCTGTTCTGCGGGAGAACGAAGGCCTTTGTTCTCTGGAGCTGCCAAGCTGGCGCCGTTCTCCAGCAAAGGAGGCAAAAGTTGGTTGTTTGGCTCTTGCGGCAGATGAGGAACGTCCCTCTGCATTGAGTTTAATGAGTCCCTGTGCAGGAATCTCACTGATCAGGAAGCAGCAACACTTTATGGAAGCTGACGTTTTACAGCCCAGCCTATATTTATGACCACCTGCTGTCTCCAGTCACCTGTATCGACAGCTGGCGAACTTGCAGCCCCAGTGAGATTTCCTATCGCCTCCACTATAGCTTGGTCTGTTGTAGGCAGCCACTTATCTCCCTGTTCCCTGGGGCAGCTGTGTAAACTGCATTGCAGCCATGTACCAAGGGGCCAAGACCAAGCCCCTGGCATGAAATATTCACATCCAACCTTTGGGTTTGAGTCTTTTCTACAAGGGCATTGAAAAATGCTTAACGATTTAGAATATGGTTCTTCTGTTTGCAGTGTTGAGCTACTGGCATTCAGAGCCAGATCTGGAATTGCAAGCACTCTATTGCAAGAGACTTTTTTAAAACCAATGGGGGATAAATTTGTCCCATTAGAAAAAACAAATGCAATGCCTAGATGCAGGTTGCAAACAGCTCCCAGTTCCAGAGGTCCTTTAGCTCAGGAGTTATGGCTTGGGCTTAGCTCTAAAGTAGTGAAAAGGACCCTTTTGCAGAGGCAGTATAGACCTACGTGTTGTTTATATCCCATTTTTGCTTCCTTTTAAGGCCTTAAGTGGTGCATAAACTTCCTATGAGCTCTTCAGAGAGTTGAATTCCACCCCTGTGTTCAGCTAGTTACATTCATTTGACTCCTAAGTTGGCAAATAAACTTTTGGTTTATTTGCTTCCACTCATTTCCGTGTTTCTAAACCTTGCAAATGACAATCTGAATGCTTGCCTGTCTGCCAGCCTATTAAGCAGGCACCTGTTATAACAACTAAAAGAGAATGGAGTCTCTTTGCAGTCTGCTATTAAACAGGTTTCATTCCCCCTAATGTAATATTTCTCCATGGGAATTTTTTTCAAATGTTACCCTTGAAGATCAAACAGATTGCAAGCAAGTTTCTCATGATGACTCAGAAGGAGCCCTAGTTAATTAAGTAATTTTGGCATTGTTTCCTTGCAGTTGCTCAGTGCCCTCTTTCAAGCATAACCGTGGCTCATAGAAACTGAGGGTTGTGAATTCATTTAGGGTCATGTTAAATAACTGTTCCCAACAGCCCCGGACACTGTTAGGCTTCTTCAGTATCTGATCAGTGATTGATGCCCATTACGCTGTTGATAACTGGGCCTGCTCTGCACCTGGGTGGCAATGGTATGTAGGGCAACTGCCCTAGCTGAGCTGCCCGCTGTGGTGCAGTAGCTGCTATTTTTGCACACACTTCCCTTAGCTACAGTACTGGTCAAGCCTTTTAAACCTGTTTATAAAGCCACTTCGGGGTTGCTACAGATAAGCAAGACCCGATACACAGCTCATCAAAGATGCTTAGGTGGTTAACTCCTAGTGACTCCAGGTGAATTCAGCGCCCAAATAAATGCCTTTGAGGATCTGCGTCTACGTGACTTAGCTAAATCACGCTTTCAAAAATGACTTGTGCAAATGGGAGCATACATCCTATTGGCTTAGGCATCACCTCTTTCACTAAGTTTTGCAAATAGGCGAAGCTGGTTGGGAAATCTTGAACATTTCTTTCAAAAAGATGTTTGCAAAAAAAAAAAAAAAAAAAGAAATCATAAAAGCTATTTGACATTTGGATCTGAGCCATTGTCTGGTGCCCTGGTGTGTTCTGCCTGAAATATGTAAAAGATGTCAGCACAGGCTTGAAAGTCTGGCTATGACTATTGTGATGCAGGGTGCTGAACACTCAAAATTATGGTCCTTATTCAGGTTGTGGATGCGAGTTCCCAGCCCTTTTGAAAAACCAGACCTTAGTGCAAGTCCCAATCGCTTCCAAATCTGACCCTGAGCTCTTTTGAACATCTGATCCCATGGAGCTGAACTGTATTATCCACTTTATTTGTGCCTAATGCAAAATTATGGTGCTATACAAATGTTAATTAATCATTTTAAATGTAGGCTCCTTGGGAACAGGGACTGTCTTTCTCTAATGCACAAAGCCAGCAGGCTGATGTTCAATAAATACTTTCATTTTAGCTCCAATTTTACCTTGGTCCCACACAACCTTCGTTCTTATTATTCTAAATCATGGATGTCAGAAAGGCTGATTCATGAAACAGAAGCTGCAGGAAATGTTGTTTGATGATCCGGGAATAGATCCCGTGTTGTTTTAAGCTTTGTGATTCAATTCCACGCGTTTGTTTTGTTTCTTTAATCTCCGGCACGTCTGATAATTTGCGTCTTGCTATAAAGAAGCTGGGAGAGGTTTGTGCGACCTTTGGCAGAGCCAAAGGCTATTCAGAAATGCAGGTGGGCTGTTGGCTGTTTGATACCGATCTTAATGAAATAACGATCTTGCATTTATATGGAAGCTTTTGTTGGGAGTCGTTTCAAAGAGCTGCATGAGCCGTTGTACAAGCTGCAGGTAGGAGCCCAGCGCCACACTATTGGTGTTGCACCCTGTTCGGTGTGAATGAGGAGTAATTTGCCTCTGTGAGGTCCAGACCAGTACTCGATCTTCACCATCCTAGTCTCTAAGCCTTTCAGTCAGTAATGGATTCTAGCCTCCCAAGACCTTACGAGGTAGGAACATGCTTTTATCCTCGTACTATAGATGATAAACATGGAGACTGAAAGTCAGCTGAGGTCACGCTCGATGTGTGTGTCAGAGGTGGGAATTGAGCACAGGGTTCCCAGCCTAATGGTCTGCCTGTCGTTTCTACCTTGCATAAAGCGCATGCTGCATTTGAGCTCACTTTGGGGTGCATTAAGACTCGAGGGCGGTGCAGCTGCCTGCAATAGTAGGGGAATGGACTTGGTGGCCTGGGAAGTCTTTTGTTACTTGCTTTATGCTGGCTCTGTGCACAGAGCTGGTTTTTCATCCTGGGAGATCATGGTGCTATTGAAATGCACCTGCTGCTTGATATTCTACAGCAGCCTCACTGCTGTTTAGGGGAGAAAGGCATTCACCCCTATGTATCTCGTGAGTAATTTGATCAGATGGCACGCAGCTTGTTGAAAACAGAATTGGGACTTGAACAATGCCAAGGTTAGCACTGCTCCCCTTAGAAAAGTTTTGAGTCCAGCCAAAAGGACCTCAGTGCTTCCTCACATGGTATATGGCTACGGCTCCCATGCTTGTTCTACTCACCCATAAATCCCAACTAGCAATCCCCCTCCAAGGCTCCCACCTGAGAGCTGACATGGTCTGATCCTGCTTACCTCGTGAAACATGGGAGCAAAAGACAAAGTAGGGTCTTTTCTCTCTCGTCCTGGTTTCCCTCTGAGAAGTTATGCACCTGTGCTACATGGGGCACTGGACATTTCAGAGCCTGGGGTGTCTATAGGGAAGGGCTTGAATCAGAACTGCAGAGGGGAAGGGGACTGGACTATTTAGGCACGGAAATTTTAATGCTACCTACCACCCAAGGGAGCTCGAAGCAGTCCCGCTCCCTGAGCCTCCCTGCAATAAACGTGCATTAAATTCTTCCAGAGCTGCCTAACGAGCCCCAGCCCCCATCTCCCATCACTGACCATACAAGATTAGTTTACCCCAGAGCTATTTACAAAGGCAGATCACGCTCCTCCCTCCCAGTGGTCTTCCCACACGGTAGGAATGACTGCTGGAGCTCCTTCCCCTACGACTCGGATGTAGGACCCGCTCTGAGTGCAATTGGAGTCCATAAGCTCCCGGACCCCTACCGTTCTCCATGTGGTTCCTCTCGATGAAGTTTCGGCCAAGGTCTGCCTTGCAGATCTTCTCCACGTGCCTCATGCAGACATTCAGCAGGTCGTCCCGGAGAAGCCCCATGGAAGGACTCATGCCGTCTCCTTCCAGCAGGACACTGTAGGTGGGGAGAGATGCCGGGGGGACGTAGTTCCTCATCAAAGTCCCAAATTCCTGCCAACAAGACAAGGTGGAGGTTATTGGGCGAGGCACGCAACAGAAGGGCCAGGATGCGGAGGGAGCGAAGAGGAGACTGGGGTTAGTGATCATGGATTATAGGGACCATCAGGGCCCTGAAGAGGTTGGGGGGCTAGATTTTGTGCCAGTCAGCTACGTTAATGCCCAGGCAACAAGCAACGTCATGCAAACTCCTTCGGAGCAAGTGGTTGCCAAGGGGTCAGGTCCCAGCTCCTGCTCGTATCAGGGGTACGAGGCAATGTCTGTTCTTGGGAGACCCTAAAATGTTGAGTTCCACCTGGTGTAATCTCCAGGGACTTTGACAGAGACCCAGCTATTGTTCTGTCCTTTCCCCCATGCCAGGGTTTACCTGCAGGAAGAGCACCGAGTCGCTGATCTGATGTATCTGGTCCCTGGTGTCCTTGTCCTCCTGCAGCAACTTGGCCCTCTCTTCCAGCTCCTGCACAATTTCTTTGATGTTCTCACTCGCTAGCTTTTCCCTCTGTTCCAAGGCAGCTTTCACCTCGTCCCGCTGCATCTGCAGGTCACGGACCAGCTCTTTGAAATGCTGGTCCACCGTGGCTTTCTCGTTGGTGGTGAAGTTCTAATGGGAGGAAGGCACGATTAATTAAGCACTTGAATCCCCTTTGCAAGCATATCTTAGGCACATGAAAATTGAAGCTCCCTCTCCTTTCAAAGAGACTTGAGCCCTTACATGATATTTGAAAACCAAATAGAGATGCATGCGCCCAGGTTGCATCAAAACCTTTACAAATGTGGCCCTTTTGAAATGGAGAGAACGGCCCTGGATAATATGGCCCTCCTTGTACAGGCTAGTTTTCCCAGAATAATAATGAAAGGAGGAAAAAACTACTCAAAATATTCTTAACCTGTACTAGAGGAGGCTTTATGCAATCATTGGACCTGGTGTACTAGATTGGTACCAGTACATTTCAGTGAGCACAGCTGTGGTTTAAATGATGTGGTTAAGCTTTTGCATCCTGTCGCGTGGTTGTGGCATTGTAAAAGGTGCCTTATACCTCCACAGAAATAAGCCACTCCAGGCACTGTTATAATGGTACGACTGCACCCATTCTGGGGTGGTGGCTTCATCTGGTGAGGAACGTCTTGGGGAACATTATCAAAATGTGAAGAGTAAAGACGAAGCGGAGGTTTGCTTTGGGCGGATGAGGTGAGAACATGGTAACCAAGGCAGGGAAATAGGTAAGGCCCCTGACCCTTTGTGCCCTTGGTCTCCTGCCGGGCTTGTCACAAGGGACCTGGAGTGGGAATGGCTCTTCCATCTGTAAAATGGACACGGTCGCTCAGGTGAAGAGGGGAAGAGAAGAGTGGAGCTAGAAGAGAAATATGAACTAGGCAAAGGCAGAGAGAAAGGTGGGGAAGAGGGGAAAAGAGTGACAGATGGGGACAGGGTGTGAGGAGACGGGGGTGGAGGGGAAGGACGAGGAGACTGCACCATCCTCACCTTGATGCGGTCCTTCTCCTTCTGCCACTTATCCACCTCATCTTCGATCTCGATGATCTTCAGCTGCAGCTGCTCCTTCTGCAGCGAGAGCTCAGCCTGCGGGAGGGGAGAGAAGGAGACCCATGAGAGCCAGTGCTGGTGGCCCACTTCAAAGAGATGCTCTGCTTTTACTTATGTGCTTGGCCCTGAACCATGATGGCTGGGAGCTACAGGTTCCTGGCATCACTTTCATGGACATCCCAGGTTGGCAGCTGGACAAGATCCCAGTGCCTCCAGTTGGGTCAGGACACGGAGCTTCCTAAGCACAGCTTCTGCTTGGCTTAGGGTGGGATTGGGAATGGTGCTGCTTTTAATCAAGCTGGAGTGATTAGCTGGAAGGCCTATTTCAAAATTCAGCTGCATTTGTAATGCAGGGCCCAACCCAAGGCGTGCCTCTGCAGCAATAAGAGTTTGCATGTAATTAAGGAATGACGTTGAACTCGTGTTGCAACTGGGACATGGTGCCTCCGGCAGGAATTCTGTTTAGACAGGATCCTGGATTAAGTTGCCCAGGTTTGAGGGCTTTCATGTTGTGATTGAACAGTGGAAAATGAAAGTGGGGGGTGGGTTGGGGGGGAACACTGGCTCAGCCTAGATCAGCAGCTTTGCCTGGATGCTTTTGAGAGCCCCTTCAGGCTGGCTTCCCATGAGCACTCGTGCATGTGATTTGTTTGCTGGGGAGGAGGTTTGCAGAAAGGTTGCCACTGGGACTTGCCCATTACAGGTGCTGTGATACGGGTCTTCCTTTGCACTTGGTGCACGTCGGAGGGCTGCTAGACTTCCCCACCTCAGCATCCATGCAGGTTCTTGCAGTGGTGCAACTCTTACACCCCCGGCATCAGCTGCAGCTCAGACAAACTCTACCTGGTCTCAAAACCCCACAGATCCTAAATCTAACTGTCAGGTCAACGCTGCTCCAGAGTATTTCAGTGCATGTAAGAATTGCCTCTGTTTCCCCCCACTAAATGTCTTTCTTAAAGCAGTGTTCATTTGTGGGCATCTGAAAATCCTGGTCCTCTGAAACAGTCCCCAAACCCACTGGAAGGATCCTAGGACCTGGGGTACAACTGGAGATCTAACAGGGTTTAGTAGCATGGGTATGAAAGGGTGAAGTAGCTAGGGGTGGGGCATCAAGATCATTAACCTATTAGGGTCAGATAATATCATATACAGAAAGGAAGAAAATGAGAAGGCTGGCCTTGGGGGAGATGTTGTAGTAATAGAAACCAGGCAAGTCTCTCATCAGAAAAGGGATTTTGTTGGATCTCAGCATAGGAACACAGGAGACTTCATTCCTTGGCTTGTGTTTAGGCCACCAGAAACCCATGCCAGAAGAGTCCCTGACCACCCAGGAGTCTCCCCACCGTCCCTTGATCTCCCTCATTCTCATTGTGCAATGTCGTCTCCAGCTTTAGGCCACCCATGCAAAGAGAAAGGATGCTACCGGATGGAAAACATGTTGGATCCAAAACTCCACCCCTGCTCAGTAGTCCATCAAGTTCAAAACTGAAACTGTAAAGCAAGGAGCTTCCATGAACTACCAGGATAGTAATTAATGGTTCATCAAGGAAAGAGCAGAACCTGAAAATTGGCCTTCCTCATAAGAGCTCCTGGCATTACGAGAAGGCCTGTAGGGCACCCAGGATGAGCAGCTCTTTTATAGGTGGGGATGGGCTGAAATGGGCACTAGATAGAAAGGCTGTAGGGAGAATTTAAGTTAATGGATGGATAACAGGGATCACGATCAGATGCTCATATGGAATTTTTTAATTAAAAAATATGTCCCAGAGGGATTTGCCAAGCTATTTCGAGGGCAGCATATAAGTTGTATCATCCAGCAATGAAATGCGGCCACCTTTCAGGCGGAGTGCAGCAGCTTTTCAAGCAAATTTCTACAAAACAGTTTAAGGCAAGGATGCCACTTGCAAGGGAAGTTACGTAGGCACTTTAAGTCATCAGAATCCAAATATTGTCACTTCTCCAAGGTGGATTAAGGTCAAAATGCCAAAGTCAAGAGCAGAGAGAAAAGGTGTTTTTGAAGATGCCATCAAGAGGCAAGGAAAATGAGCAGGGAGGTGGAGAGTGGACTGAAGCTTGGTAGAGTACTTCCAGGTACTCTGAGAGGGGGGATTTGTAAAAGGGGCGGGCAGTGCATGTCATTGCAAATGTTAAAATTGCTCGTGCTCAAGAATAGGGGAAAGAATTTAAAAATGAACTCAAAGAAAGAAGGGAACTGAAACAACACCTCAGCTGAAAGCAAAGGTCCAGGTTTTGTAGGGGAAAGTGCACAGTGTGAGGAAGAAAGTTGGCTTCATGATACATTCATGCCTTCCCTGTTTGGGAGCTGTCTGGGAGGCCCCAACTACATGGACACCCCAGCTCTCCCTTACAAAAGGGGCTCATGGGGGGGAGGACATATACCAGCTCCATGCCATTAAGGGCAGCTTCATGTCAAGTCACTCCCTAGGGTCCAAACCCACCGTCTGGCATATTTGTCGGGGTGGGGGGGGGCATACAAAATGGCTAGAAGCAAGGCTGAGTCTGGCTTGAGGGAGATCTCTTAAGTCATAGAGTTCAAATGGTTGCAACAAGAGGCAGGAGGAAAGGGAGAAAATCCATCCATTATTGAGAACTGAGAAACAGATGATGGACAGTGATGTTAAGGAGATATAAGAATGGCTTTCTAATTTATCGACCCACATCCTGACTGGAGCAGCCCCAGTATCGAGAGCCTATAGTTGGAGATGGTGGATAGTGGGTCTTGCCTCAGGATGCAACTCAGTTTTGCTATGCGGGCATCATGTTACCATCATATTAGACATGGGACCCAGGTGATCCCATCCTCTTGGGACCCTGTCCCTGAAACTCAGAAGCTTCACCTTGCTTCTCAGTCTGTCCTGCATTCACAGATTTGCCCCTCAGCCCTGGGCAAACTCTGGAGAAGCAAAGCTGCTCAAATCACCACGGGCAGTGATGCTGCTTACTCAGCCTTCAAGCTACGATTAACAACCCTGGTACAGCATGCATCCCCCCTGCCCCATCTCTCTACTGGGTTAGTATTTATAGCCCTAAATTAGGATGGTGGCTTGGGAAGCACAGAGCTCCTCAGTGGAGACAAGGTCTCGTAGCAAAACAAACCATTCCCCAACCTTGCAGCCATGGGGAGGAAACAACCACCTCCTCCCCCGGGCACAACACTATGCTCTTGTGTGCTTCATGACCAGACAGCCTGGAACAGTGCAGGAAGGGCAGAGACGGGAAGCTCCCGGGGGCCCTCAATGAACTGCTCACTTCAAAGCCTAGCTCAGCCTGTTCAAAGACTTCCCTTTAGAAGTCCTTTCGCTGAGACTCAGAGCATCCAGCTCCAGTCATTGTGTGTCCAGTTCCAACCACCTCAGTAAGCCTACAAGACAATGCAAACTTTCCTGTAAAGAACAAAAGAAAATCAAAGCACTAGAAATGACCCGACGTGAGGCTGGAGGACAGCAAGGCTGTGCTATTTACAGATCCGTGGCTGCAGGGTGTTTCCAAACGCTTCCTTGTTTGAAAGACATGCCTGCAAAACTAGCTGATGAATGGAGGGTCCTTTCCACAAGCCGTTTTGGAAGCGCTGGGCTGGCACATCAGTTTTGCTGGAGGGTTGCGTGTGTGTGTGAATTGCTGAGAGGCCTCGTCGCTTCACAACGCAGCCTGCTTGTCTTGGCTTTGCCCTTTTTAATGGCCTGGCCCTGAGGAGGTTTTGCTCTTTACTTTAAGATTAGCCCAGAGGGGGCCTGAGGATTGCATTAAAAAGTCATAGGATAAAATACATAAAGTATGTTGGGAGCAAGAGCAATTCATGACCGCCTTTGGCACTGGGCAGCAGAGTCAGGCCCACTCTCTGGCCTTTCTTTCTGCACATCCTCAGTCTGGATGAAGCATGTCCTCACCCTAACCTAGTTATTGCCTGGCCATCAGGGAAGCCACTGGAGAGGTGGGCCATGTGGGTTTGACCCCCCTCTTGGCCTGAGAGGAGCACCAACTTGGCATGCGGGCAGGAACGCCATCTAACTCTCCCCATGTGTCGCAGAGGGTTGTGTTAATTAGGATAAAATCTCAATGGATTCCAGGAAAAGGAAGATCCTTGCAGAGCTCCCTTGCCCTGAAACAACAGGTGTAAGAGCCTGGTTGCATGCGACCGCATCCCAGACTCCAGTGCATGGGCCTAGCATCGTTTGAGTGAATTGACCTCTCCAGTTCGCGAGCAAAGCCGACTGCTCATGTGGGTACTTTCCAATGCTCAGGCTTCATTGTGGTTCACCCTGGAGCAAAGGAATCAGGTCCTGGGCCAAGTCTGCGTGAGTGGACGACAGCCATGCTACTTGACTTCCAAACAAGCAAAACTCCCTCGAGTTGCAACGTGACCAGGCGCTGCAGTCTAGAGAAACGTGTGCGTGTGTGATTCATCCTGATAAAGCCCCAGACCCCTTAAGCATAGAATCAAGAGAAATAACACCTTTCAGGAATGCATCTGGGATGCCTCTGGGGCTTGGGTGCAATATTAATGAGAGCCAAGAAAGAATGTAAAGAGAGCAGACATCAAAGGAAGCCCCGGATAAGTTTCCAGCAACAGCTTTTTTTTTTTTTTCCTGCCCCGCTCCCTGTTTGCAGGCAGGAAATCCCGCGTCGTTTGGAGACGGGAGTTAACCATGAGTTAGAGGCACGCATGGTGGCTTGTATTTTTTGGAAAAGACCGAGATTTGAGAGAGACTAGATGCAACGTTTAAGGGGATGGACGCAAGGCAGATGCTACCAAGCTGCTTGAGCTGGCATGAAATGTGTGAACGAGGAGGCATGAAATTAACTGCGGAAGAAATAAGCCCTGCAGGGATTTCAATGGGGGCTTCTTTATGCAAAGAGTCGCAGAGATACGGAGCAAGTTATAACAAAGCTGGGTGCAAAGAGCAGCCAGACGAGGACAGTATACTGGGAATGGGAGCGAGAGGGCATGGAAATTGGGCAGCCTCCTACTCCGTTCTGCTTCCTCCCTACCATGGCTGATGGGTTGAGATTCATTCAGGAAGCTGCTGCTCTGGCCCTCACTGAGAAGGTTTAGGGATTTCCTTCCCTTCAGCCCTGGGAAGGATTAAATCACATCTCTGTATTTGGGGTTACTGAAGAACTGGTCATTCTGCCCGTACAAGCTTCTGTATCATCATCTGCTCACCGCGGCGTCGGAGGATCTAACAACACTCCCAGAATGGATGGGTTGGTGGGCGGAGGCGCGGCGATGATATTTGGGAGATCTGGCACCACCTCCAGATCCTGCCACAGGCTGTATGCAACCTTGACCTACTTGTGCCAGGGGAGACCACGTGTGAAATGGGGAAGGGTGATTTCTTCTTTCTGCCTTGTCTCTTAAACTTGCAACGTACATATACGGCACCTAGTACAAGAGGGCCCTGGTCCATCTGGAGACTGCTCTTGTAATAGCAACAATACCCGTGTCCAGAAAGCAAGCAGCAGGCAAACAAATCAAAGGCCAGAGGGTCTGTGTTTAGCCTGGGGGTACTACGCTCTTCGGCAGACTGCCTTTGCATTAAAGCTCAAGCCCTGTGAGCTTCTGCATCTTGCAGTCATGCTCCAGTGCATTTGTTACCTTCCCTAACGCAGCATCAAGCAAGGCTTTCCATAGTTGGGGTTCAACGTTATTATCTCAATGGGCAAATGAGCCCAGAAACATTGCCACCACCGTTTTGCTTGGCAGACGCAATCCCGGCTTTTTTAAATACCTTATTTTCACATTACCCACCTTGAGACCCTCCTCCACACCCACACCCACGACAGGTCTAAATTGCCTTTCCCAAGTATGGAGCAAGAACAACAGGGACTGGACCCCTGAATGCCAAACTGCCACACCCAAAGTGAGTGCAAGATTGCTATGCCCTCCACCCTTGGCCTCCCCGCTGAGTCTCTAAGTCGCTGGGAGAGAGCAGAAAGGCAGCGACCTAGTACTGAATGAAGGGAAAGAAGAATAGGAGAGGGCAGCCAGGACCGTTACCTCCTTCCCTGCTTTCTCGACCTCCACCGTCACCGTGCTGTGGTTCTTGTGCTCCTGGAACATGCAGAGGTAGCAGATGCACATCTGGTCGGTCTGACAAAACAGCTCCATGGTCTTCCCGTGCACCGGGCACTTCCGCGCCTCAAAGTCCCTGATGGGGTCCAGCAGCTGGTGATCCCGGAAAGCGGCGCCCTCCAGATGGGGCTTGAGATGCAGGTCACAGAAGGACGCCTGGCACACCAGGCAGGACTTCACGGCCTTCTGCTTGTTGTCGATGCAGGAGTCGCACAGGACGTCTTCCAGCTTCGCCCTGGGCCTTGACCCGGCCACGCGCTCAGGCCGGTTGAAGTTGAGTTTCCTCAGGTCCCCGGTCTCTACAAAAGGGAGAGACGGCTTCTTCAGGTCCCCAAACTGCGAGCTCGGAAACAGTGGCTTCCTTCCTTCCCCATCGCTGGCCAAGAAGTTCTTCTTCAGCTCTGCTGCCAGGAAGGGTTTCTTGAAGTCCCCCTTCTCTGTGAATGAGAGCGGGGGCTTCCTGAAGTCTCCCAGCTGCACTCCTGAGTACGGCAACTTCTTGGCGTCCCCCGAGTCCACGCTGAAGTAGCTCGACCGCTTCTCATCGGCTGACTCCACCAGCTGGATGATGGGCCTCTTCCATTCCCCGCCAGGGAAGAGCGAGCTCTTCGCTTGCCCCGTCTCCAGAGACGAGCCCCCGGTGCTCTTCGCCGTCTCCTGGGCCCTGCTGGGGCTGGTGGACTTCTTGGTTTCCTCTCCATTTTGCTTCGGGCTGGACAGGCTCTTCACATCCTCTTGGTTCACAGCGGTGCCGTTGGTCCTGGCTGCGCTCCCTGTTTCCATTGCAAGCTGGCTCTTCTCCACCACTTGTTCTCTCACCCTCGCTCCTTCCTCAGCCCCTGAGAAGAGGGTAGGTCTCTCCACTGGCTCTTCTCTTTGAATTAACCTTGCCAGTTGTCTCTCCGCAAGGGAGGGAGGTGGATTGGAGGCAAGGCTGTGCTAAATGACACACCTGGATGTACTGGGAGGGGGAGGAGAGCACCTGAATTGTGCTGGGCTGAGGCAGAGGCAGACGTAACCAAAAGATTAGACTTTGCAGCTGTGCTGGCAATTATTTCATGCCGTCCCCACCCAGGAACCTTCCTGTCGAACCAGGTTTTTGGTGAGGGGGAAGGGTTGTTTATACACATGGGGATTTTTAAAAAAATAACTTTCATTAAGCCACAGCAACCAGTTCTGCTGCTTGTGTCGTCCCTAATTGCTTCTCGCCGTCGGGAGTTGAGAGGTAGGCAGGGTTGGCAGGCGTGAGAGCCACAACATGGGCTTGTTAAGTGGGTCATGCCCATGCACAAAAATAATTAGGGCCGTAATTAAAATGAATATGGAGAATAACATGCACTAAGCTGGGATCTCCAAGGTTCAGCCCGCTGAGGGGTGGAGGGAGGGGAAGGGGAATGGATCGCGCTGGGTGTGATTGACCCTTGTCACGTGCTTGAAATGCTGGTATGATTCAAGCTTCAGCCGTCCACAGTTTTAGGTGTCCCAGCGATGAACTTAGCAACCAGGAGGACACGGGAGAAACAGAGTAAACATTAACCAAAGCATGGTGGCCACTTACTTTTCGATGGAATATGTGACCGTCAATCGTGTGACCAACGGACCTTAAAAGCCCCTGTCCCCCTTATTGCATTGCTCTCATGGAGAAGACTCTCATTTCCATATATACCAGCTTGCCCCCCATATTCACCCCAATAAAAGGGCTTTGCAGTGGGTCTGGATGGTGACTAGATGTGCGGTGTTTCAGACCTTGATGGTTGCGACTGGAAATACTTTGTGGGGTGAACTGAAAGGATTTAGAGGGTTGAGCATTTTTTTCCTGTTTAATTTTCACCTTTTCACCCAAATGAAATTTAAGAAAAATAATTGAAATAAAAGGAATGGGGATTTGGAGACGCTGCTTCTCTCTTCCCCATGCTCTTTCCCTGTTTTTTTCCCACCACTAGAAAAGAGGAGGAGGATGGAAAATGTGAAGACACCTACGCTGCTTCCTCTTGATTCAGATCAAATAGAACAGTTTGCTTCTTGTTTCAGTGAAAACCCCTTTGAAAGGTACCAGCGTGTTCATGATCAACCAGCAGTTGCATCTCCACTAGGTGCAGATGCAGGCATTGCAAAGGCAAAAGGCCCCCGTGTCCTTGGGTGACTTTCAGAGGCCAGCAGGCACTTGTACTATCTCAGCTCTGATTTCGCTCCATTGCTATCAATGGAATTGCTCCTGGTTTATAGCTAGGGAGTGAAAGGGCAGGCCATCCCGAAGACTTTCTTAGTTGAATTTTATAATAAAAAGGGGATATTGCTTTAGGGTGGGATTGTCCTTTTAGTGCCTCGTAATATATTTATTAGAGCTCTCCAAACTGCGAGAAGTGAGGGCTCAGGTCTGTAGGGTGCAGCTGGTCCCTGGCACAGCTGGAACCACGGCCCTTAGTCTGAATGGTCTAAACTTTGGGTCTGGGTCCTGAAATGAGCTTCATGGCATGAATTGTGCCCATGCAAAGGGAATTGGGGCTAGGGAGAGCCCACTGGAAAGCAGCACAGCTGCTCCCTTGATAAGGAGAAAGGCTTCCTAGACACCAAAGTGCCCTTCTCCGCTGTCGCAGACTTCCACCTCTGGGTTTCCACCCTTTTTAGCCTCTTCCTGAGGAGCAGGAGCTCTCGACTGTGAGGAACCCAGCCCAGCCCATGTTTTGTTTAATGGATGTGAGCAAGAGGACCCTTCAGCAATTTCTAAATACCAGGCTTTTATTAGTGGGACAGCGAGCCCTCCCTGCATGGACTGCAGCCCCCGGTATACGAAAGGCCAATACCATTTTTTACAGAGCAAATCTTATTAAGGGAGAAAAGATTGAATTTTCCTCCCTTCACCTCCTGGCTTCCTCAGCTGAGCTGCTCTTTCCCAGCAGCAGCCCAGGCAGATCTCGAGGTGATTAACAAATGCTCCAGGTGGAGTAAGTCTGCGCTCGCGTGTACCGAGGGGAAAATCCACAGAGCCTTTCTTAGTGCTTGTGAAGGGGGAGAAGAAAAAAAAGCACATGGGGACTTGGCTCAGGGAAAGGCAATTTAGCTTCCACTGCTGTGCGGTCACCAGTGCTAATGGAGTCTGGGCCTTGGTAGGCAGTGCAAGCGAATTAAGGGCTTAGGTGCTGATCCCGGTTACACTGATGTAAATCCCTAGCACCTCCAAGGTGAGTGCAGTTAGTCTGGACAGGCTCCAGCGTAACTGTGTTCAAGGATCTGGCCTGGTACTCTCTCCTCACCAAGGTGACCCTGCCCTGCTCTTGCAAAGGCAACACGAGGAGACACTTGTGCCCACGTGAGCTACCCACGTGGTTCCTCAGCAGGATCAGGGCCCGCCAGTAAGTCGGGTAACGTCTGTTCTCTGCCTTTGTCCACCATCGTGGCTAATTCAGCTCCTTCATTAGTAGCAATTGTGGGAGCACTGCTTTAGCAGCAGCAGGTTGTCACCGCCATCGTAACCAATGGCACCCAATGCTGCCAGCTCATGCAGGATCTGTTTTTGGTAAAGCCCCAGCTCCTGGAGTCAAGTGACGACGTGCAGAGGTGCGTCCCAAAGGTACTGGGTAAGGAGTGGTTTATACAATGGCACAGCTTTTAAGTCAGCCTCACATCTGCGGTGGGAAGCTGGGTGTCTGATCCGGAGAGCAGGGGAGCCTGCCTACCTCGTCTGCCTGTGCAGGCCGTAGCAGATTCCCGCACTGTCATAACCGGCCCCCCTTGGGCATTGCCTGCCTTTGAGCAGGGTGATAACTAGACCTGGATAAGCAAGGGCTTAAGTGCATCTCCGGAGCTGCCCTGTTTTGGGGCCTGCTGCTTTCAAAGGGCTGTTCTTCCGCAGAAGACGACGCCGGGAAAACCCCGCTCTCACTTTCCATCTGCCACTTCCTTCGCACCTCGCTGCACCCACTTTTCATGACCTGCTGCCAACCATTTTCCTGCCAGGTCCCACCCTCCCTCTCCCTGTTGTTCTTGGCTCCCGCTGGGATTCGCTCCTGTTTGCACCTGTCTGAAACACAAGTTTGTTTGATCTTTTTGGTGTTGTTTTCAGGCATTGCCATACCTGTCTTGCGCCGCTGGGTATCCGTGTCTGAGGAGGGCAGTGGGGAATAGCAGCAGGTCCTAATAGTTTTCTGGATGGTTTGTCTCAGCTTCCCAAACTGATTGGCAGGATACCACTGCCAGAGTCCCATACCAGCTGTACTTTGCATTTATACGACTTGTTTAAGGCTGCCTGTACTGGTGTCTTACAGAGGATGGGGAATGAGGTAACATTTTAGGACTTGTGTCCTTTGCATAGCCCGTTCCTATGCTTCCTGTGGGGCAGAGCGCTCTCCTATGCAGTGCCCCATGGTAGGTCTGGGGCATCTAGGAAGGTTTTTCACAGGCTACGCCCATTTGTAATGCAGGGCAAGGCCCTGATTCATGGTATACACCCATATTTGGAGCCTTTCAAGCCTCCTCCATGCCTTTCATGTGGGGATCTCGGAGCCTTTTGAAAGAGTCAATAAACACTGCTTCACAACACCTCTGCAAAGGAGGTCAGTGTTACTAACTGAGCGCAACAATTCGGGAAACTGAGGCATGGGGAGGTGCACTGACTAAAATCCTTGCATTAATAAAAGGGGTCAGGCCTCAGTGGCTTTGAGGACGGTGCCAGGATTGGAACCTGTGATGGATGCGACTGCCCTGGCCCGCAGCTGTTTGCATACATGTTTTGGTGATTGCTTTTCTCCTCTTTGATTTTTCCAATTTGGATTTTGCAGTGCTCGCTCTCATTCGGCAGCAAACTCTTTGTGTGCTGTTCATACTGTGGCAGGACCTAGAAACACCCATCCTGGGCCCAAAACCACGTGTACTAAGTGCTGTCCAAATGCATGCATGCAGGGTTGCTTTTTTATTTTGTTTCCATAAGGGACATGTTTCTGGTTTGCATTTTTAATTACTGTTTTAAAAAAAAAAAAAAAAAAAAACCACCAAACCATGGGGAGCCAGACCAGTGACAGATCAGTCTGGTTTAAACTGAAGAGAATGAAAAGAGTTGACAAATTCCCAGGCTGCTTAGAGCTAGCTCTCCTCCCCAGAGCAGATTTGCAGACACGGAGGCCAGATAAAGGCAGTGGGAGGCTGGGTGCTGGTCTAATCCATAAGCCCCTGGCCTGGGTCTTTTCACAGCTCAGTGGCAAAGTTCAGCAACTCAGGCTACTCATTGCCTCTTGTGCATTAGTCATTAGACAAGCTCCCCATACACCCGTGTCTCTGAAGCACCTAGTGCAGCCTCTGAGCGATGAATCCCATTCAGGAAACCTAAAATACAGATTACAGAGCTATCCAACGCAATTATGGAGTATATAAACCAGGCACTGATGATCAATGACCGTGAAATACTGCTTTTCTGAGATCCGTGGTGCAGTGCCTACTTGTGCACTACCACTCAGAGAACAAGTTCAGAGGCCTTATTTTGCCTTCTCTCCATCAGCGTCAACTGGGAGTGAGTTACTCTGGCGTGGGACGTGTGTGAGGAGTACCCGGCTTAGTGTGTTTCTATCTAAATATTTAGTGAGCTGTGAATTACTTTAAAGTATATCTGACCTCTACAATCCGCAGCAAGTCATGGGCAAAAAAGCCATGCTTGCTTAAAATCTACCATAGCTCCTGGCAAGAGGCAGCTAGAAAAGGAAAGGAAAACATAATTGTCTGTGCAAGGGGCATGTTCAATGTCACTTGCTTAGCTTTGGTAACAGGTGAGTTTGCAAGGTAAGGGGAGGCAGCAGGGGCGTGCAAAGGAAGGGGTGGAGGTTTGCAGTCTGGGAGGTGGGGGAAGGGGAGCATTTGATCCCCGGGGTCTCCACACTTAGTGATCCCAAGTGTCCAGTGGGGCATAAGAGTTTGACCTGCTGCTCTGTTGCCAGTGTTTTTAGCAGTAGCACTTGGGATCTTATTTGCACCCTTTGGGACACGTTATGCCCTTTGGGACAATGGGGCAAACACCCTTTAATAAAAAGGACA